AGTCTGTCCGCATCCCTTCACCACCCAGCGTGCCTTGAATCGATTCGGCTGCCCGTGCTCGTCTTGTTTCACCCTCAACACAACTCCTTCTGACAACACTAGGACTCCTTTTGGTACGTCAGCTCTGTCCACGATTTCATACGCCTCCAGCTCGTCGAATTTTGCCAACTCTACATCCACCGCCGCTTGCCAAAGAGGTGCGTACGGGTCCTTGACCATGTCCTGTAGTGTTTTGGGTTCCTTGTATGTCAATCCCACCATGGGGATGCTGGTTGCTGCACATCCCAGCACATGCTTCTGCAAGTTCGGAAGGCTGTTGAATGCTTGTCCTTCTTGTCGTTTCCCAAATAGAACGTCTAGTCCCATCATGGGGTCCATCGTTTGTCCTTCTCCTCCGAGCACAGTCACCATTGGGTTGAAGTGGACCCGCAATGGAGTTGCGTCATGAGCAGCCAACGGGATCCCATCAGGTGGGTAGGCAAATTCATAGAGATGACTTGCCTCATTCTCCATGTCGTTGTCTTCAAGACCTTCAGGAACAGAGACGCCTGCTGGAGGTAAGTCACTTGTTGCAGCCCCTTCTCCTGCATTGGCTGCGTTGTCAATAGGTGAGTCCTCTCGAGTTGCGTCCGCTTCTTGTTCTTGTGTGGTTGAGATGTCCGTGGGCGATGTAGGCGATTGCGGGGATGCAGGAAAAGAGTCAAACTCAGACCCGAAGCCTTCTCCCCCTGAAGTCCAGCCGTCAATGTGCGGTGAGACTTCTTCCATGTAGCGTTGGCATTCGAGTACCGATTCAGCGTCCGATAACATGAGGTCATCAAAGAATCGAGCTGATCGAGTGTCTGTTTCCACGTCGCTTGCCAAGTCCCGAACAATCCATGCCTTCCGAGCATTGGAAAGGCCAAGAAACATCCCAGCCCGTCCTCTTTGTTCAAACTTCCCGAAACTGCCTTGGGGAGGGAGATAATAGCAGAGGCAGCCGAATGTCCTTGCCATTGAGACATCTGCTGCCTTTCCTGTCATCATAAAGTACGATGAGTGTGCTGACGGGTTGCTGCTACAGCTGATCCGATTGTGTAGGCATGCTACATACTCTAGCGCATAAGGCCAGAACTTAGAAGAAAGGCTGGCCCCGGTGGTCATTGCCCGCACTTGGTCCATGAGTGTGCGGTTAACCCGTTCGGCGACTCCATTCTACTGCGGTGTGTGAGGTAAAGACGTTTGGTGGATGATGCCGTGAGTACTCAGGTACTCTGTGAACGCATTTGCTGTATACTCTCCCCCGTTGTCCGTGCGCAAGGCGGCCAGTGGATTCATGGGCAGCTTCGTCTTCATCTCGTGATGCCAAGCCGAAAAAATAGCTGCCATGTCGGAACGACGAGCCAGCGGCGCCACCCACAGGTAGTTAGTGTAGTCGTCCTTGAGCGTTAGCACATAGCGAAGTGAGGGGTGAGCATCACCCAAATCCATGATGTCGATGTGCACGAGCTCCAAAAGTCGAGCTGTGCGCTTGTCGGTACCTGTGGGAAATGGGGCTTTGCTCATCTTCCCTCGGATGCATGCGTCACACGGGGGTTTGAGGGGGTTGGACTTGTCAGAAATGGAAACTCCTTCAATGTCTCCATTCCGAAACGTGGCATCCATGACGGTATATGATGGGTGGCCCAAACGCTTGTGGGCCATGCGGTATGTGATGGGTGCATGAGCAAAATGTGCATTCAGCCCTCAATGACCAATGTCATTTGATGTATCATTAGCACGGACATGGTCGGATTCATGGGCAGGAGCAAGTGCAGGTTCATATTGCACCATGAGCATCCCATGCATGGTCATTATGAGTCCAATCTTCACATGCTCATCCCCGACCGCCATGGTAATCTCCGTGTGCCCGTCATCATGTGTATGAATCTGTGCTCCCTTCTTGTGCAGCTGACAATATGAGAGGAGGTTGGACTTCTGCCCTGGTACATAGAGGTCTTAGGTGTAGCGAACCGTTGTCCCATCTGGTGCTGTTGCTCGTATGGTTCCCATCATCGTGCTAAGCAGCTGGCTCCCATCAGCAAGCTCAACATGAACAGGTTCGTCCAGCTCCTCTAAACCTTCAAACCAGCTTTTGTCCGGGGTCATGTGTTGGCTGCATCCGCTGTCCAGCAGCCAAAAGTGACCTCGAGGGATCGGTAAGGCCGCTTGCGTTGAGCGAATCGTTGCAATGCAAGTGTCGGTATGCTTTTTGTCTCCCCCGGCTACCCCTTGCTGATTTGGCGCCTGGTTGTCACGTTTGGGACTAGCACTCCTTCGAGGCGAGGACGAACGGCTACCCCAGGTGCGCTGGTTTGTCCTCCCTCTGTTTTGCGGTTCCCACCTTGTCAGAGGTCCACTGGTGATCCCCGATTGATCCTAGGGAAGGGTTACAGGCTCGTTGTCCTTGGGGGTTATGGGCGCACTGACCCGCTACTTAACAAACCCTTTTATCCCAGTGGTCTAGTGGTTGGGATTCTGACATGTTATCAGAGCGAAGGTCTCGGGTTCGAATCCAAGTGTGTGCACTTCGGGCATCCCAGTGCGGGGGGGTGTCAGAGGTCCACTGGTGATCCCCGATTGATCCTAGGGAAGGGTTACAGGCTCGTTGTCCTGGGGGGTTATGGGCGCACTGACCCGTTACTTAACAAGCCCTTTTATCCCAATGGTCTAGTGGTGGGGATTCTGACACCCCCTAGAGTAGCTCTGATACCATGCTAGAAAGACATAGTGCTGGCGTAGCGAAAGCCTTGATGTATGATAGAATAGCTAGAGAAACCTTGCAACTGAAAGGATTCAGAACAATGGATTGATTATGAAATGATAAAGCAGGGTATTTATCAAAGCACCTAACCCGCTCAGGATGGCTCCATCCACACCAATAATGTCACACCAATAATTCTACCCACCAATAATTCTTACCCTCCAATAATTCTAGACTCCAAAAATTCTGGCCCTCCAATAATTGTACAATTGTTGGAGGGCTGGGAGTCTTATAAATGAACACTACAGTAAAATCTAACAGCATTTGTATTACCTTAGGTTTGTATATTTAACAAAAGCATGGCGGACGCTGTGGCTTCAGCGGCATCGGCGACGGCAGTGTCGATTCGCCAGCCGGCATAGAAATCGTGACGCGGGGTTGACTCCTGGCCGCATTCGTCGCTTCGGGGTGTGTCGTGTCGTGGTCGTCGTCTCCATCGTTGCGGACGACGCCATCACTGGCCGTGCTTGCGGGTTGCCCCACATTTCCGTGCTGCGATGTCTGTGGTGCAGGTTGTCCCGGAGTGCCAGGTGCTTGCGAATGTGCTTGCTGTGCTCGTGCGACGTCGTTCTGCAGGGACGTGCGTTCTGCCGTCAACGCTGCAATTTCTTCAGAATTTTTGTGCAGCTGCTGCAGTAATTCGTTCAAACGCACCTGCGTGAGTGTAGTGACGTCGATGTGTTCGGCCATGGCAAAGGGCGTCGGCTCAGCTTAGTCTAGGCGCAGTCGTGGCTGCACGCGTTTACGCGAGAACGCGAGGACAGCGGCTCCTAGGTGCTAAGGGGCGTGAGTCCCTTCGAGTGAAAAATCAAAAGTTGTTTTTTCTGGGGTGTGGAGATCAGGGCTGATTTTATCAGGGTAATCACCCTGATTTCAGGGTGATTTCAGGCTTTCCACTTCGTGGAGACTGAAATTTCAGAGTTATTGAATTTCCAGCCCTGATCCAATCAGAGTTATAGTTTAGCTATCCCTGATTTTGAGTACAGTGTAACAGACTAGGCTGTTAGTGGACCCTGACTTAACAGAGTATCGACTGTGTGGACCCTGACTTATCGAGAGGAAGTTTCTCGGAAGTTTCCTTCCGATGACCCCGCCTTGGATTGATCGCAGTGATCCCCCCACATGTGCGTAATCCCCCCCCCTTCCCGCTTTATCGAGACGAAGTTTCTTCGAAACTTCGTTCTGATACACCTACCATCGAGATCGCGTGAATCTGCAATGTCAGATATACTTTGCTGGGATTGGTCGAAATAGGCTCTGACAGCGGAAATCTGTGACTCGAACAGGTGTGACTCGCCCATTCGATCGGTACACTCGCTCCAGAAGGAACGCCTCTGAGGGTGACTAACTACACTCGCAGCGTGTCTGATGCATGCCAGCTGAAGAGATCCAATTGGGCATGGTAATAAGACAGGGAAACGTTACACTCGCACACCAGATAGGTCAATCACACCCGCCCTGCACAAATCAGTCGAGTGTACAGCCAGCAGGAAACACAGCGCGCAGACTTTATGGAGAGTGGGGATATTTTCCCCGGTAACAAAGCGCGCGTTACTACTCTGATGTTCAGTTCTCGACCCTGAACAATCAGTGTTAACTACTTTACAAGTTACAACCCTGAGCAATCAGGGTACTGCTTTTCTGGAAAATGTGCACCCATAATAGAGGGGGGAAATTTTCCCCGGAATCAGGGAGGCTTAAAATGAAACGTCAGCCCTGGTGGAGATGCGCTGTCCAAAAGAAAGTGGCTCTGATAACCAAGTGTTACGGGTGCAAGGAATCGAGGTAGCGAGGATTGCACTAGAGTGTTCAATGAGTACAAAGTAAGAGCGAAGGCATGAGCGAATACTTATACGCGAAACATGCAAACGGTAACGCGGTGCGTGCGAGCTAGCTAGTGCTACGCTGGCGCGAGGTTCAGGCTAGTCCCGAAGCGTAGGCCGACTCGGCTGCTCCAGCAGTGCAAGGTTTGGAGAAATAGTGCTCGCGAAGTTGGCGAAGGCCCGTTAGCAGTAATGGGCAAACAACGGATGCTGCTGTATGCGATGTTGACGGTCGCAGTAAGGAATAGCCGAGAAAATTCCTTACACTAACCTAGGTCAAACCATTCTGTCTGGTTTTCTGGGGAGACAGCTTCACCTACAACTTTTCCTAGCACCTTGTGAAGAGCTCCACGTGTAGATACATGCCCATGATCGTTTTTCTGAATTTTGCGCGAATGGGTTTGGCCTCTTCCAAACACCAGGCATTAGAGGACTGGGAGGATAAAGACGAGTCGTCGTTTCCCTGGCTGGAGCCTCGTGGTCTCAAAGTCGGCCATGCGACGGACGTGCGACGCGCTTATCGCCTGACGAGAGACGTCCTTGGCGAAGGTCGCACAAGCATCGTGTGGTGAGCTCCCGAAATATGCCCATGGCATTCCAGTCGACTCTATTTGGTCCTGGCTGGTCTTGGTTTTTCCTTAGAAATCTCTTAAAGAACTCAGAGTAGTTGTCTTAGCGATGGACATGGCAGTATCGATGACGTTGCTTGGTTCTGAAATTCGAACTTAATTGTCTCATCGTGAGCAACGGAAAAAAACACTCATTCGCAATCTTGGCCTAAAGTTTATGGTGACTCTATTGCGTGCAGGGTGGGCGTGGACAGGTTGAGTGGGACCCACGTGGCAGTGAAGATGATATCTAAGCAAATTGTGACAGCAATGAAGGGAGAAGAGCTTCGGGTGAGTGGTGAGCAGGATGCGCATAGGGACCACACGCATGAAGCGAGAGCAGAGGAAGGATGATGAACGCTGAGTGGAGAGCAGAGGGTGGGGCGGGGGGGAGAGGCAGACGAAGGACCTGCGCAACTACTTCACTTCTTTTTTTCTCAACCTCGCTCGCCCTGCTGAAACCACGTCGGGTGCAGGCCAATGTGTCACATGTTTCCGCCTGCCTTATTTCCAATCTCTCCCCACTCTCTCACCTCCCCTCTCTCTCTCTTCCCCACTCTCTCTCCTCCCCGCTCTCTTTCCTCCCCACTTTTACATGCTGCCCAACCAGGCGTCTGAGATTGAGATCCTCCTTGCAGTAAGCCCCCTTCCCACCGTCTATGCTGCACGCGCATCCTGAATTTGGCATGCCTGGTCGGCCTGTGCTGGCCCATTGCACGGTTGGGCATGGCTGGTTCGTTGAGCCTCATTGTGCATGCACACCTTGAGAAGGTTGCTTCCATCCATTGCCTACTTGGTGATTCTTTCACAACCCTGTTACCAAGTAGATCTCCAAGCTTTCCACGCCACTTCTACTTCTTGAAGTCGTGGACTCGTGTTGTGTGCCTCTATCTGATGTGCGATTCCTCCTCGTTTGGGATGCCTGCAGCTGCAACATGGTGGAGCCAGTAAGCAATTAGAAGGGAACGGCGACAGCTGCGCTGCTGCCGCCACCACCCCTGCCAGCAGCAGCGGCAGCGGCAGCACAACCAGCAGCACCACCGCTGCCGCCACCAATAGTGGCGGTACAAGTTCCGCTGTAATAACAGGATCGTTACCTTCCTCTGCTGATCCAGCCTGTCCTGCTTCCTCTGACTCTTCCAACCCGGCTGTTGATGCTCATGGTTCTGCCTCAGTCTCAGCCTTCCCTGCCCTACTCCCTGTGCTGGGCACATTTGAGGATGACCGCTTCCTCTTCCTGGTCACTCCCTTGGTGGCTGGAGGGGACCTCCTTTCGCACATTGCGTCCCGGCCCAAGTTCTCAGAGCGCCATGCATCAGTCATTGGTGAGCAGCAACGTGGGATGTTTTGAGTTGACTCTAAAATAAGGTGTGTTTTGAGTCGACTCAAAACACGGGGACCTCCTCTCGCACATTGCATCCTGACCCAAGTTCTCAGAGCGCCATGCATCAGTCATCGGTGAGCAGCAAAGTGGCATCGGCCACTCGTGGTCAGCTGCTGTTACCGAGCATTGATGGGGAAATCCCAAGGCATTTCTGAGCCAGATGTGTGTTTCTCTGGACTTGCGCATTTGATAAAGCTGCTTCTTTGCTGCTATGCTGGTTTGTGCTCTCCTCCAGTGCGCCATCTGCTCAAGACTCTTGCACATCTTCATTCTAAGGGGATCTCACACCTTGATGTTGTAAGTCATGTCAATATTCTATCCTCAACTCTGTCACTTCCTCATGTTCCCACTTTCCCACATCTGCTCCTATTCATTATTTCCCCCATCCATTTGAGACTGCTCAAGGCCGCCATGTGACCTGCTTGCATGCAAAAGCCCTGCGCACCCTCTTCCGCCCTCCCCCTCCCCAACAGAACCCGACTAACATTCTCTTCCCCAGCACATCATCCAAGCATCTCCACTTGGTAGATTTCGGATCAGCCATGCTCGTTCCTCCTGAAGGTGCTGCCTCACCATCTCCTGGCACCACGCCCTTCTTTGCCGCTCCGGAAGTTTCCCAGAAGCGCGTCTTCGCTCAGGCTGCAGACATGTGGAGTCTGGGTGCTGTGCTGTTCTTGATGGTGGGTGGGGTGCATCCCAGAGTGGCAATGGGGAAGGCAGCAGCATCTGCAGAGCAAGTTCACGGGAATGCCACATGGCTAAGATTACAGGCTGGTGATGTGGAGGGTTTGCCAGATGATCCCTCTTCCGAGCTTCTGGAGTTTCTGACAAGATTGCTCACGCCGAATCGGTCAGAGAGGATGACGGCGAATGAAGCGCTGCTACATCCTTGGATAAGGTTATCTACATCCAAGCTGCACCAGAGCCCTTTACAGACGTCGGTGAGGAATTGCAAGGAGTATGTGTCGCGGCGCGCTGCTGGGTGCATTGGTAGCGGTGTTGTGAGCTGCTCTACACCGAAAGTCTATGAACAGGATGCACGAAAAGGAGCAGGGCTGACTGCATTGGAAATGACCGGCAAGAAAATATTGATGGCGAGTGATGTTGGAAATGATGGATCCAATGGTCAGGTGGGACGGTTGGTGGTCTCCAGTGCACTGGATCTTGAACCGATGAAGAAAAAGGAGCTCAAGTGGAAGAGCGTTGATAGTGTGATTACAGCGGACTTGAAGGAGTTTGCTAATTGTGAGGTGAAAACAAAGGTTTTTGTAGAGGTGTTGGGGTGCAATCAGCCTAGGAGCAAAGCTAGACTCAAATCTAAAACTTATAACCAGATCACTTGTCTTAGTGGTTAATTACGATAACGAGTCAATGTTTCACTTGTGTCATTTTAGGATATCTTCCCAAGCTTTTCCCGCGGTTTTCAGGCAGACCGTGAGAAGCTTCTGGCGGGAGACATACGTGTCCCGCCATCAAATATCTGACACTTTTATCAAATTGTCAGAATCTTGGGGGTGCTTGTCCCAATTTTGAATTGGTGCACCCTAAAAGTTGCCCGTTCTGTTGCAGCGACCCACTTCATGCGAGAAGATTGTGCTCATGAATGTTGGAGAAACTGACGAGGCAGCCCCTAGCACACCCACGTTCGGGCAGCTTCGGCGATATTCTTTCAACACCTTGAACTTGTGGCGCACGACAAGCTGGGAGGTTGGTGGATGTGCGCCATTTTTACCTGTCCGTGATTGGGTTGAACATGGAGGTTTGTTCGCTGGAGCCAACACGGAAACACGTGAGGCTAACCCTCATATATTCCACGTGACATTACTTAATTGGTTACACGTCTGACTTGTGGTGGCGTCAAGGTGGCGGGAATGGTCGCCAGAACAAGCAGCTCAACAGTCGATCTGACCTACTTGACAATCTCAGGGTTGTGGATGCCGCCGAAAGTCGTGGTGGATCGTTACACCAGGTTGGGGCAGTGCTTGCACCTATTGACGATTGGCAACAGAAGTCGAGAGCTCGCGTGATCGTGCAACGCTCGCGTGATTAGCGGATTCCACCGAAAGCCCCAGAAACTCTCGTTCCTCATTGGTCCGCGCAGCCAAAGTTCGGTGGGAGCCTCACAGTGCAGCTCTTTTTCGCCCCGAGTCCCACAACCTCAGGAGACCGTGCGGAGCCAAACAATCGCGATACAAAGTTGCCTCTCGGTCAGCACACTTCCCGGCGATGTGATGCGACACTGTCACAGCACCTACGTCGCAGCAGTGCCCCCGTGTGCTTGCACCGCTGTTATCACGTGTGTAGCCCTCGCGAAATAACAACGATCATTGTCCAGGGTGCTAACAACCTCACGAGATGTTGCGAAGGCTTGCGATCAAATACCGACATGTACGATGGCCACACAAGAGCCAAGGGAGCTCACCAAAACTCCCGAGGCCGACGGAAGGCTTGGGGCTGATCGCGACGCGGTCTGACTGACGCGCCAACTGGGACAGCTCCCTCCCTCCCTACCTGGCCACGCGTATTCCCAAGGCTGTCACAGGGGCGCTGATTTTCGCTCCAAAATTCGCCCCTTGAAGTTGGCTTGTCTGTTCTCGTTCGCAGCTGCCCTGCCCGCCCAGCCCCGTGCCGCTCGGAGTCTGTCACATCCCAATCATCCGCAATCCTAATCCCTTCGATAATTGCCTTTTTTTCTCGTGCCCACACAGAATTCTCACCTTGGCAAAGCATCCGCACCGAGTCTTGTCCTGCCCGCCGCCAACCCCAGCTTCCATTCTGCGCCCCATTCCCCCCCTCCATACACAATCCGCCGCACATCGACTGCTCGCCGAACCCAAACCCTGATGTCCCCGCCCGCACCCTCCACGATGCCTCCTGATGAGTTTTATTTTTGCGCCATTCCAATGTCTGCCCCTCGGCAAAATGCCGAATCCCAATGTCCGCCCTTCTGGAAAGCGCCAACCTAGCAAACGCGATCGGTGCACCCAGCCCCTCCCATTTCCATCGGTTTCGCGCACAATGAAACCAACATGTCCATCTTCCCTCTATCCATCATCCCTGGTGCTCCAAGCACACACAACTTCACAAAACATATTTGTGCAGCATGAACTCAGGATTCCTTATTCTCGCGCCCTTTCTCGATTTCTTTTGAATCTGCAAGCAATCTTCAGGGTAGCCAACTACATCAGCAAAGTAGCATTTAGAACTGCGCCCTTTCTGCTCACGTATTGTCAATTCGTCCTCTAAGCTTTCCTTCCTCCTCAGCTTGACTTGACTCTAATCTGATTGACAGCACAGTAATTTCACAGCCTACGATGGCCAAGCCTACTTCTTCTGACAAGAGCGGACAGAAAAAACCTACCGCGGTTCGCCTGCACGAAGGCACGCGGATTCGCGTCGTGTGGCCGCGCGACAACCGATGGCACGCGGGATTCGTGAAAAAGTACGACGCGAAGAAGGCGCTTCACACGATCGTGAGCGACCACGGCGACAGCAAGCGACTGGACCTGCGAACCACGCGATGGGAATTCGAAGACCCCAACGCCGACCCGTCCAAGTTTCTCCGCCCGAGAGGCACCCGCGGGAGGAAAAAGGCGTCCGCTGCGGCGGGGACAGCCGCGGGAGCAACATCGGCTCTACCACAGCTTTTCCCAGTCAGCGGTTCCCGCTACGCGTCGTCGAACGCGGCTGCGAGCTCTGATTCGGGCGACTCGTCGGACCCAAGCTTCGGACATGTTGACAGCCGGGCTTACGGAGCGGCGCATCCCGCCGAGGAGCACCCTGCAGAGTCGTACGAAGAGGGAGAGTTTGTTCATCGGGGCCTGCGGACCCGGAAGAACCGCCAGTACGTGGTCAGTGACGATGAGTCCGGCGACGGTGATGACGTGGCAGATGATGCTGACGAGGACACTGAGATTGAAAGTGATTATGAAGAAGACGAGGGCTTGGGTTCCGACTCGGAGTGTGATTATACCGAGGGAGCGGTGGATTCATCGGCTGGAAGAAAGAGGCGGTTGAGTGAAGGGCACACGTTTGGGACTGAGTCGGCGGAGACGAAGCGATGCAAGAAGGAAGGGTCGTTCTTCACTCTCACCGAGGTCGCGTGGCAGCAGCAACAGTCGCAGGAACCGTCGCACCCGTCGCTACCGTCGCAAAAGGCTTTGAAGGCGAAGAGGCCCGTGGGTCGTCCGCGAAAGGTGGTGGCATCCGGTTTGGCCCAAGCCGCCGAGCCTGCTACTGACGAGGATACCACCATGGACGAAATGATGCTCATTATGGCGGTAGCGCGTCGGCTTGTAAAGGACAAGTGCGGTCTGCCTGCTGCCTGCGATGCGCTCAAGTTGTCCCCCGTTGCCGCGAAGCTCAGGGACAGCAGCGCGTCGGGCGCTGCGGCAAAGGAGATTAAGGAGAGCGGAAGCACACGCTTTAACGGAGACAAGGCGGCGATGGGAAGCGCGGATGGCGGTATGGTGGAGGTGGAAGTGACGCAGCAGGGGCAGCTTCAGGTGAAGGGGGAGGTGCAGCGCGCCGCTGTGAAGGTGGACGTTCAGGGACACATGGAGGACTCGATCAAGGACCTGAGAGCGGTTCATGTCCTCCCCGTTACATCTTCCGGCCCAGGGGCTGCTGCTAGTGGATTTCGGTTTATGTCGGGGATGGAATCGTGTGCGCGTGCGATGTGGCCCTGCAGCCAGGGTCGCGTGGTGGTGAGGGCAGCAGCGTCGTCTGTGGTCCCTGCTCAGGGTGGTGCCATCCGAGCGTAGGCACCATGCCTTTCCGCCTGCTCTAGTTATTCTTTGACTGAATTAGCTCGTACTGGTAGTATTTTTATAATTTGGTTCAGGGTTGTCACCATATACACCAGGTTGGTTGCCTCCGCGGCTTCCTCCTTATACTCTTAACGCTAGTTTGTTTCAGTTTCTTAGTGTACTACAAATTTCATTAAAAGTCTGATCTTTCCGATAACAATTCCTATTCCTACCGTAAAACCATAAACTGAAAAGGAAGTGACTTCTGGTAGTGCCTCAGCACATATTGAGCCATTTTGGCTGTCACGCAAGGCTCTGGTGTGCAGCTTATCCAGACAGTCATAGCGTATAAATTCCTAATTTGTGATCCCCTAATTCACAAAATCGGTCTCTAGATCAAAGAAACATACAAAATTGATGTGGAGGACTCTGGTGTGCAGCTTATCTAGACAGTCATACCGTATAAATTCCTAATTTGTGATTCCCTAATTCACAAAATCGGTCTCTCCATCAAAGAAACATACAAAATTGATGTGGAGGACCACTAAAACAAGCAAGTACAAGCAGGGAGAAATCGTGCGGCCTTTGCTTGACTGTTTTGGTGCTGCAGCACCATTGGTGCCAACCTTGCAACTGCAATCAACCACTTCCTAGAAGAGAATCTGCCAAAGCTTCATTCAGGTCGGCCACTTTCACTCTGGAGCTTCGAGGGCAGCTGAGCCAGAGGCACGCAGCATTGCCATTAGGCTAGCCATCTCAATCTGCAAGTCAGCACGGCGAACAGTGAAATGGAATGGCACAGACACGATGACTGAGCTGTTGAAGTTGCTGCATGCATCATTCACACTAAACTACAAACAAATTCCAAGGCAGTGATGGTTGCCCTTCATCCATATGCAAATGCTGTAAGTGAACATGCATGCATGCATGACAATACACGTACCGCTGTGACGGCCGCCTCTGCACCTTTGTTGCCAAGCTTGCCTCCCGCCCTGTCCATCGCCTGAGAATGAAGTGTAGAGAAAAAAACGCATGAGTCCATCGAGGATCCGGCAACATTTGGTGTGCATGAGTGGGTGCTGTTTTGCACCGAGATCTGTGTATGAGTGAGTGCTGGGAGCACATGCATGTGTGGATGGAAAACAAACCAGCACAAAGACAGTATGCCTGTACCTGCTCCATTGTCTCGCATGTGAGAACCCCAAAGACACAAGGAATGCCTGCAGACGGTGAGGCGGAGGGAGCAAGAAAGAAGAGGGGAGCGGAGAGAGTGGGTGGGAACGGAGAGAGAGCTACAAGAGGTGCTTCTGAGCAATGCGAAACCCCGGATACTTCGTCACACTGCAAAACTTGCAAACAAATACAATCACTAAATCACCAATCCTGAATGTGATTTCACTTTCCAGTCTCACCTGAGTTGAGACCTGCACTCAGAACGCCACTGGCAGCATTGTTTGCAACGGCATCATAATGAGTGGTGGAGCCCCGCACCTGAGGCAGGGATGGCAAGGATGGAGGGGAAGGCAAGGGAGAAAGTGAGTGTGAGACTACTGGAATAAGATGCATAGTTGGAACCGAACAACTCAGGGATTTGGTCAGCAGACCACAGCAGCAAAGCTGGCAGGCACTAGCAGGGCTGACCATAAAATGGATGAATGCAACGTGCGAGCCAGCCACGGATATATGAACCAAAGTGTAAAGCGTACACGCCACGTGGTTAATCTCACTGACCACAGCGCCAATGCAGAGCACAGCGTCGAAGTTGCCCGACTTGGCCATCTCCTGCGCCACGAGGGGAATCTCGAAGCTGCCTGGCACCCACGCCACCTCAATGTGGTCCTTGTCCACGCCATGCCGCCTGAACGTGTCAATCGCCCCCGATAGTAGAGGCTTCGTTACAATCTCGTTGAACTTGGACACCACCTGATAAAGCCGGATGCGAGGTATGGGAGGATCCGAGGGAGGCAGAAAGAAGCAGGGAGAGAATAAAAGATGAGAGAGGCGAGATGAGACTTGGAAAACCAAGACTGAGCGCGTGAGATCGTAAACCCTTTAAAAACCTCTCAGGCGTGTATTGAGCTGTGAGAAAATAACACGCTGTGATCAACGTCCGCGTGGCATTTGGGGTCGTACTGATTCTTAAACTGTCCTTGACTGAACTTTTCGAGCTTACCACCCCAAATCGAAAGCCCTCTCCAGCGATTCCGCCTCGCGACTCTTTCACTGCATATCCGCATCTCGTGATTCCTTGCCGTCTGAGAGTCGTCACTCTTTTGGAAAACGACGACACCTGAACCGCATTTCCTTCAGCCGACAGACCTGTAACGCCACATTGAAAAAAAATAAAAATAAAAATAAAAATCAAAATCACGGAGGACAAAATCGGAGCAACACAGATTGAATCGGACCGCAAGGCACGGCACAAAAAGCTGCATGGTGGGACTCGCCTTGTGCGAAGGACGTTGAGAAGCCAGTTCCCAACAGTTGCCTGCTCTTCAATGAAGCATCGTGACGCTGAAATCCGCCGAGGTCTGTACGACACAGAGCCGCATTCGTCGACACCGCGACAGTGCTCGCAGCGGAAGCCATTGCGCCGACGACCTAAGATGAGGTGACGAGCACAGCAGGACAGCCGCTGAAGCAGTGGTCAGCGGTGAAACGCGCTGGCTCACACTTACAGCAGACGACTACTTGCGGTGGCTGTTCGAATTGTGGTGGTTTGTCAGGATTGACTTTGGGAGAGGGGGGGGGATGAGTAGCATCAGAATGAGTTGTTTCTTCGGTTGGGGAAGTTGTATGTTACATTACGTACATTCACAACGAAAATGAGGAGTGAGACATGCTAAAAACGCGTACAAAGTGGCTTGATTGCCTGCGATTGACCAACTGAAACTACTTGTCATCCCGTTGCCACATTGCTGTTCAGTTAGCCATTTCCCGAGTGCTTGCTCCTAGTTTTTCCCAGCTTGCTCCTAGTTTTCCGCAGCTTGCTCCTAGCTTTCGTCAGCTTGCTCCTAGTTTTCCTCAGCTTCTCATCCCGTCACGCTTGGTCATTTGCGTTGCGTGCGTTTCAGCTCGCCAACGATCAAAAGCGATGGATGTAGCTCACGCTCTCCGCATGCTCGATACTCTAGATGCACATCTGTTAGCCCTCCTTCCTGCTGGAGAGCTCCAGGCAGCTGACAGAGCAAATGTGGCTGATTCAGGTGATTAGACCAGCGTGAAACGCGTAGACCACGAGAGACGTTCACTCATCCTGAACAAGAAGTACTAATACGTGTTGACCTTCATGACCGATTGTTTTAGAAACATAAGAATATAATTCACGTCACTTGCTGTGCTTGGTCCTTCCTACTTGCAGTGGATCTTGACATAAGAGCCCATCAATTCCTTGAGACGGCGTGTGATCTGGAGCGTTGTTTCACAAGGCTTCGAGCGCAGTACATGGCTGATCCTCGAGCAACACTACCCAGGGTAAGGTCTCTGTCTGTTGAAACTTGCTCGTTGCGTGCGCACATTGAACCAACACACCTGCGAGCGGATGTTGTGCAGGAAGTGGCGGCTCTGGAGGAAGATTTGACGAGGAAACAATTTGCTTTGAAAGAGTGCCGAAAACAAGCAGCTGAATGGGATGTCCTTGTAAAACGAACGTCTCTATCACTGGAGGATTTCCTAGCTGACGCTTAATTAATTACTATCAAGAAATTGTTATAATAATACATGCAGTATAACAAGGAAAGCTGTTGACTAGATTAGATATTAGCACTGTGCACTTGCCCAACACAACATCAGTGATGTTGGGGGGTTAGGACGGTCAGTACTGCATCTCCCAGAAGTCAGTCAGGAATCTTGTTAATTCTCTCCTGAAGCTTGAATCTTTCAGTGATGTGTGGCCTCACATCATCTACCCTGGCCAGGGTCTCCAAAAATGGAAGAAGCAACTGCAGCTCGCAGTCCTTGTCATCATCAAACCATGCTTCGATTGGGATACCATTGTCAACTTGCAATCCAAAAGCCTGCACAAATGCAGCTGCAACATGTCAGAAGCCTGCACAAATAAATGAAACAAACCACGTGATACTTGGCCAAAGTTAAATAAACATACCTGGGGCGAGTTGTCAACAATGACCACTTTCGAAAGGTCTCTGCCAAGAACAGACAGGTCCTTGACATAGTTCCCTTCAATGTAGACACAGGACTCTCTGAAGATTCTGTGATGAACCAGCTCCGTCTTGGGATCCATTATATCAAGAAGCTTATCTGCGTAAATGCCCTGGCTGGCTGTGAAGACCACAACCTCGAACAGCTCAGCTACCTTCTGCAGAAAAGTCTCCACATGGGGGCGTTTACGGACATGGACCATATGCGTATGGCTGTTCAGCAAGACTGGGAAATTGAAATCGGAAAATGGGCAGAAGTCCATTGTCGAATGCACCAACGTCTCTGTAACAGGAACACATAACAGACATTAAGTCGGGCAAGTGAAAAGCATGAAGTCGAACGCAACAGATAGACCAAAAAAACAAGAGCTTACCATCAAGATCTAGGACCAGCGTAACAGGCGGCGCATCTGCTTTTCGCTGAGGTAAGATGTAAGGACGATTTTCCGGAATGACATACGTGAGCAGCGGCAGCCGTTTGATGAAAAGAAGAGGGTCATTTTCATCCTCTGCATCGCTTTCACTCCCGACCGCATTACTTTCCTCTTGACATTCCAGTCCGTGAAACTCCAGATCTTCATGGCCTGCATCCGGGACGTTACCTGAATCGAGGAGCGAAATCCAGGAGTGCCCGCATGTTGTACACTCCAACTGGAAACAAACGAAGAGCAGCCAAAAGAGTTAGCAGTGACAACGAGAAAACAAACATGCGCAAACAAGTTAACAATAATGTAGACACGAACCTTGTGCTCTTCAACTTCATTTGAAGAAATTTCCGGAGAATTAGGAACGGTTCCGCAGACACCGCAATTAGGGCAGAGGAGTTCCACCTGGAAACAGTAAGGTAACAAAAAA